AGGATAGGAAGAATATACTATGCTAACATTAGTCAAAAGAAGGTTGGAGTTGCTATATTAACACCAGACAAAGTTGATTTCAGACCAGTCTGGGCAATATGGTGAAAGCCTGTCTCTACAAAGAATACAAAAAATTAGCCAGGCATGGTGGTGCAGGTCTGTAGTTCAGCTACTTGGGAGGATGAGATTGGATCGCTGGAGCCCAGGAGGCAGCAGTTGCAGTAAGCCGTGGTCATGCCACTGCACTCCAGCCTGGGTGACAGAGTGAGACCCTGTCTCACAAAACAAAAATGAAACAATAACAACAAGAGTTGATTTCAGAGCAAAGAATGTTACCAGAGATAAAGAAGGACATTTCATAATGATTAGGGGTCATTTCATCAAGTGGATGTGATAATCCTATGTTTATGCACTTTAACCACCAAACAGAGGGAAAAGCTTCCACTCCCTGAAAAATGAAAACAAAACACAAAAATTATACTTAAACCTCTACTGCTAACCTCTACTGCTATTTCACACACAGGGTACGGAATACAAATTTTGTGTGACATAAGAAGTAGAAAACTATGACTCATAATCACAAGACAACAAGATCGTCAGGTGATCTAGTTATGAGAATCAGCAGACAAAGGCTTTAAAACAACAATTATAAGTATGCTGAAAATTTTAAAGGAAAAAAACATTCACAATAGGTAAAGAGATAAGGTATTTCAAAAGAAATGGAAATTCAAGAATAAACTAAAGGGAAATTATAAAATTGAAAAATACAATGTATGAAGACTTAGTTGATGAGCTTAACAGCAAATTAGACACTGCAGAAGAAAAAAATAAGTGAATTCAATATAAGCTAATAAAAACTATCTAAATTGAAGTAGAGAGAGGAAAAAATGGTTGAGAATAATGAACAGAGCATTAGCAAACTGTGGGATAATAGTAAGCAGTCTAACATACATGCAATTAGAGTTCCATAAGGAGAAGAAAGAAACAATAAGGCAGAAAAATATTTAAAGAAACAGTAGCTTAAAAGTTGATTAAAAATAACAATTCATAGGTCCAAAAAGTTCAACTAACCCCAAGCAGGATAAATTTTTTAAAAATCATACTTGGGGCCAGGTGCAGTAGCTTATGCCTGTAATCCCAGCACTTTGGGAGGCCAAGGCTCATTTGAGGTCAGGAATTCAAAACCAGCCTGGACAATTTGGTGAAACCTGGTCTCTACTAAAAATATAAAATTAGCCAGCGCTGGGCATGGTGGCTCACACCTGTAATCCCAGCACTTTGGGAGGCTCAAGTGGGCAGATCACCTGAGGTCAGGAGTTCAAGACCAGCATGGCCAATATGGTGAAACCCCATCTCTACTGAAAATACAAAAATTAGCCATGAGTGGTGGTAGGTGCCTGTAATCTCAGCTACTTGGGAGGCTAAGGCAGGAGAATCATTTGAACCTAGGAGGCAGAGGTTTCAGTGAGCCAAAATCACACCATTGCACTCCATCCTGGGTGACTGAGTGAGACTCTGTCTCAAAAAAAAAAAAAAAAAAAAAGAAAGCAAAAATAAAACAAAAACACACTTGGTACAACAGAGTAAAACTGCTGAAAACCAAAGATAAAGAGAAAATCTTAAAAGCAGTCAGAAGGGGAAAAGAGACACATTACACAGAGGGGGTCAAATATAAATGTGAGAGCTATTTCTCGTCAGAGATCATTAAGCCAAATATCCATTAATTCATAAATAAACAAAATGTGCTGTATTCATACAATGAAATACTACTCAGCAATAAAAAGAAGAAAAAACTACTATAGCTATAGTATAGCTATATGAACCTTAAAAACATTATTCTAAGATCAGGCGCGATGGCTCACACCTGTAATCCTAGCACTTTGGCAGGCCGAGGTGGGCGGGTCACGAGTCAGGAGATCAAGACCATCCTGACTAACACGGTGAAACCCTGTCTCTACTAAAGATACAAAAAATTAGCCGGGCGTGGTGGCGGGCGCCTATAGTCCCAGCTACTGGGGAGGCTGAGGCAGGAGAATGGCATGAACCCGGGAGGCGGAGCTTGCGGTGAGCCGAGACGGCACCACTGCACTCCAGCCTGGGCGACAGAGTGACACTCCATGTCAAAACAAAACAAAGAACAAACAAAAAGTTATTCTAAATGAAAAGAGCCAGATGCAAAAGACCATAAATTAGATTATTTCGTTTCTATTAAATGTCTAGAAAAGAAAAATCTATAGAGATAGAAAGCACATTAGTGTTTGCCTGTGGCTAGGGGTGAGATTGATTGCAAATGGGTAGGAAGAATTGCTTTGGGATGTTATAAATGTTCTAAAACTAGGCTGTGGTAATAGTTACACAACTCTTCAAATTTACTAAAAATTATTGAATTGTACCTTTACCATGGGTGAATTTTAGGATATGTTAATTATACCTTAATAAAGCTATTAAAAAGGTGCTGAGACAGAAGCCACCAGTTTGGAAAGGATAAGAGAAAAACATGTAACTGAAAAAGAACAATTGGCCACACTATAGAATTATTATAAATCCAAGAGAAAATGACCAACAATATAATTGGAAAAAGATTAGGAAATAGGAATAGAAGGCAATTCTAATCTCAATAAACGTATGAAAAGATGTTTAATCCTATTAATAGTTGGTAAAATATAAATTAAAGTCTTGGTAATCTACAATCTCACATCCATCTGATTGTCCAAAAAAAGGGCCTGACAATACCAAGGTTAGCAGGAGTATGGTAAAATTAAAGGTGTCCAGGCTCTGTGGCCATCAATTTCACTCCTGGATAGACTACTGGAGAAACACAAATGTGCACAGTAAGATCCTTACAAGAATTTCCATAGCAGCATGGTTTATAATTGCAAAAAAAAAAAAAACTAGAAACAATAAAATAAATAGGCCAGGCACAATGGCTCATGCCTGTAATTCCAGCACTTTGGGAGGCCGAAGTGGGTGGATCACGAGATCAGGAGTTTGAGACCAGCCTGGTTAACAGGGTGACCCCCTGTCTCTACCAAATCTACAAAAATTAGCTGGGCATGGTTGTGGGCACCTGTTAACCCAGCTACTCAGAAGGCTAAGACAGGAGAATCGCTTGAAACCAGAAGGCAGAGGTTGCAGCGAGCTGAGATTGTGCCACTGCACTCCAACCTGGGCAACAGAATGAAATTCTGTCTCAAAGGAAAAATAAATAAATAAATTAGAGTGTAGTTGTACAATGGAATATTATATAGCAGTGAAAATGAGTAAACTAAAGCTACATGCATTAACATGGATGAACTTTACAAATATGTTGAGTCAAAAAAGGAAATTGTAGAAGAATATACACAGCAGGTTATTCATATAGTCAAAATGCAATGAATATAGAGTGTATAATATAGTAAAAATAGAAACATATGCATGGGAATGATTAACACCAAATTCAGAATAACATTTCCTCTAGGGGGAGAGAAAGGAATGCAATAGAGGAGGAGCTTAAAACTATATTTGTAATGCTTTATTTCTTAAACTCAGGGCGTTTACAGGTGTGATGGTGAAATTTTATATGTCAACTTGTCTGGGCCATAAGATGCCCAGATATTTGGTAAAATATTATTCTGGATGTTTCTGTGAGGGTGTTTTTGGTTGAGATTAACATTTAAATCCGTAGAATGAGTAAAGCAAACTGCCCTCTCTAATATAGGTGGACCTTATCCAATCAGTTGATGGCCTAAATAGAACAAAAACGGCTGACTCTCCCCTAAGTAAAAGCGAATTCCTTTTGCCTAACTGCCTTCAAACTGAGACACTGGCTTTTTCCTGCCTTCAGACTTGAACTGAAACACTGGTTTTTCCTGGGTCTCGAACCTGCTGTCCTTTGGATGGGAACTACATCATCACCTCTCCTGGTTCTAAGGCCTTCAGACTTTGGACTGGAACTAACACACTATGGACTCTCCTGGGTCTCCAGCTTGTTGATTCATCCTGAAGGTCTTGGGACTTGTCAGTTTCTACAATTGCATGAGCCAATTCCTTATAATAAATCTCTTTCTCTCTCTCCCTCTTTCTCTCTGTTTCTCTCTCTCCTCCTCCGTCTCTTTCCCCCTCCATCCCCTCCCCCTGTCTCTATAGTGTACATTCTATTGATTCTATTGATTCTGCTTTTCTGGAGAACCCTGACCAGTAGAATAGTTATGTTTGTTATATTATTCTCTATACCTTTTGCAGGCCTAAAATAGTTCATAATAAATTTTAAAATAAATAATGAATGACTGGGCATTAAAATGTCATATGCTATAGAGGGCAAGTAAAATGAGAACTGGAATATGTACATTAGATTAGCTATTAAGAGGCCCATGATTGCCTTTGTAGGAGTGTTCAGAGTGGAGGCCTAATGGTGATGGGTTGTAGAGTGATAGGGAGTATATACACACCCTTGCTGGAGTTTAACAACAAAGTGAAAAAGAGCTCTGGGTTTAGAGTAGGGTGCAAAGGAGAGAAAGGGTTGTGTTGTTGTTGTTGTTGTTTGAGACAGGGTCTCGCTCTGTTACCCAGGCTGGAGTGCCGTGGCGTGGTCTCGGTTCACTGAAACCTCCGCCTCCTGAGCTCAGGTGATCCTCCCACCACAGCCTCCCAAATAGCTGGAAGTACAGACATGCACCACCACAACTGGCTAATGTTTTTGTATTTTTTATAGAGATGAGGTTTCATCACATTGCCAAGGCTGGTCTCGAACTCCTGGACTCAAGCAATCTGCCCGTCTTGGCTTCCCAAAGTGCTGGGATTACAGGGGCAAGCCACCATGCCCAGCCAGAGAAAAGAGTTTTAATAATGGAACCACTTGTCTGTGGGGCTTCCATAGTAATTCTGTTGGAATTATCAGAGTCCTGGTCCTCCTTTGGTTGCTATGACTATTCTAGTAGAGATTCTGGAAGATTTGAACTACGTTTCTGTGTCTACAAAGTGATTTTTTTTTTTTTTTTTTAAGTTTCACTCTTGTCGCCCAGGCTAGAGTGAAGTGGCACGATCTCGGCTCACTACAACCTGTGTCTCCCGGGTTCAAGCAATTCTCCTGCCTCAACATCCCAGGTAACTGGGATTACAAGCACCCACCACCATGCCCAACTAATTTTAGTAGTTTTAGTAGAGCCAGGATTTCACCTTGTTGGCCAGGCTGGTCTTGAACTCCTGACCTCAGATGATCCACCCACCTAGGCCTCCCAAAGTGCTGGGATTACAGGCATGAGCCACTGTGCCTGGCCTTAGTAAAGATTTTTCAAAGAGCGCAGTGCTGCTCTCTCTCATGGAAAGAAAAGTATTAAACCCATGATGATTACATCTTAGTCTAAGGGGAATATTAAACCCACAATAAATTAAGCTAAAACTTCACAAAGACTCTGCAAGGGGTTGGGGCGGGGCAGGGGTGGGCAAGGAAGGGGTTGACTGTAACTGGAAAATCTTGGGCTACTTGTGGATGGTGGTTTTTTTCTTTTCTTTTCTTTTTCTTTCTTTCTTACTTTTTTTTTCCACCTAATGGTTGAGCTTGGCTAAAGGAGTGCTGCTAATGGTTTCCCAATTTAGTTTCAAGGGGATTGGCAGCAGGGTTTTCCAGGCCACAAAGGCTGAAGGGGACATACTATTAGTCTGTCTCACTCCTCCCAGAAACTCAGTCTGGGTTTTATTGTAATTTCATCTTAGTCTCATCAAAGGCGCTCCAGATGAGGAGATTCTGAGCTGGGGTATTTCTTCCTGCCCCTCCCAGACAGATTGCAAGGTTTTTCCAATACTCCATTCTCCCTGGGGCTCTCCCTGATTGGCGCGGAGAGAAAAGCGCCAGCAGGGGTCAGCAGTGTCCCACATCTGGCCGGGAGCTGCTTGCCACATGTGCTGTTTCTCCTGGCACTGCCAGAGGTATTGGGGGAATTAGCGAGCACCGTTCCATTGAGGCGTTAGCATCATTCTGAGCATTGCAGGCCCAAGATTCCTCTCCCTGAACGTGGGGTGTGCTGGAGGAGTGGAGGGTGTGTTCTTTATAAGCACTATGTGGGGTGTGGGTGTAGAATCCAGACATCAGCAATGCCAACTCACCATCTGGTTTTCTATCGGGAGGTTTTTATGTGTATTGGCATGAGCAATATATTGTGTCGGTCTGGGTGTCAGAGGACGCGTGTCAGAGTTGCCTTGTTGAAATTTTCCCAGGGACCTGGGATTTCTGGATTCACCCGGTATCCAGGCTCTCCCAGAGCGGCGCTTTGGCTGGCCACGGCCTGGAGCAGAGTTTGTGCAGCGCTCCCACGGCCGCCTGCCCGGGCCTGCCCCCGACACATGCTCAGTGGAATTCTCCCGTGGCAGCCCAGAGTCTCCGGAACGAAGGTCTCCGCGGCCAAAGCCACGCAAGAGGCTCTCCTGCTCTCATTTCCAGACGCACCCTCATCCTTGGCGTCTCCCAGCTCCAGTTCTCTTTGACTCCTCCGGTCCTCATTGCTGCTCAGCTTCAAGGCGCCCCCACCTCCCAGGATAAGTCCGCCTGACTTTACAGCTTACAGGTCCAGAATAACAGATGGCCAGAGGCATCCCATTCAAAACTCCCCGCCTCCTTCCTAGCTCCTCAGTCTCTCCCACCCCAGCTTGGTGGTGCCCAGGGAGGGGGTCAGAAAACCACAGAGGGCCCGTGGGAGGCGTCCAGCTGGGAGCAAGCCTGGGCTTGCTCTTTAGCTGAGACTCCCAGGGCCCCGCGACCTTCCAGGCAGCCTCCACCACTGCTGTGACAGGCAGATGCCCGACTCTCCATCTGCTTTCTGACCTGACTTTGGCAAGGCCTGGGCACCTGGCCTGCTTTCCCAGGAGGACAGTTACAGCAGCTGATCTAGGGAACAGGTGTGGGCTCTGCGTCACAGCTGCTGCTGAGCACATCTGTACCCACAGTGGGGAGGCTGCAGCTGCAGCAGGGCCTGTCAGTCATTCATACTCTCCCCGGACTTGGGCAGTGGCGGGTGGGGCGGGCAGGAGGCGGGAGACTCGGATTGAGAGAATCTGAGATAAGCATTCACAGAGCACCTTGCTCCTAGAGATCCCAAAATGTGGCCCCTGACAAGGTTTTCCCAAAGTCAGCCTCGCTGGCACCAGCAGCGTGGGAATTAAGGCTGGATTCTCCCCTTCTGCCTTGCTCCCCAGCCGTTGGGCCACAGTCAGCTCCTCCTCCTTCCTGGCTGGCTCAGCTCAGCTTTTGCAGGATGGAACTTTGAATCCTGGCTTCCAGTGACTCTCCCAGAAAACTAGGAGGGAAGTGCTTGGAAGAATGGCTCTTTATTCATGCAAATGATTTCTTGCCACTTAAGAGCCTCAAACCACAAAATCAATTAAAGAGAAAGGGTGAAGATTTGGGGATCTGTGCCAGCCACTGGATGCAATGTTTTAACTCCATCATCTTATCAGATCTTCCCAGCGACCCTGCCACATAGCTATTATCAAGATCATTTCTGTTTCCCAGAGGAGAATTCAAGGTTACACAGTTAGGAGGCAGTGAATCTGGGATTTGATTGCAGTCCTGATTCCAAAGCTTGTACTCTGACCACTGGGCCACACTGCCTTAAATCTCCCATTCCCTGGTAAATCCAACATCTGAGCTACATTCTTTCTCCCTTGCAGGGAATCACCTGCCTACCTCCACCTCATTCATTTCTTACCACAGCTGGAGTCCCCTCTACAGCCTTTACCTCCAGTAGTAGTTGGCAATTCACCCACTTCCAGCTCCTGTCATCATCCTCCCCTACCCTCACCAAAGTGGACATCGCAGCCTCTAAATCTGAATGGAGCTGACACCTAGCACCCACCCTCTCACCAGCTACCTCTGGGTTCCCCTACCCGGTATTCCCTTCCTCACATCCAAGCCTGTTCCCCTCACATCCTGTCATGGCCTGAAATAGTCTTTGCCTCTGTCTACCACTCTCCAGGGTCCCTCTTCACACCTACGTCTGTTTTCCCCTCTCGAGACACCTTTTCTTAGCATTTTAAGACTATTTATTGATATAGGAAAATGCTTGCAGAATATATTAGGAGTATCTTACAATTTTTAAAATAATTATATATGTAATACATGAACAGATTCTCCTTGTAAAAAGCAAACTCAAACACATAGAAAAAGTTAATGACTCCCTTGATGACTGCCAGTTTGAAGTATTTTTCCAGACCTTAAAAAAATTTACTTTCATACAAGCATATGTACATATAGAAGGATATACTTTAATGGGGCATCTTTCATCATAAGTTGGATCATAATGTGCAAATTGTTTCACAACTTTTATTCTCTCTGTTTTTAGACAGGGTCTCACTTTGTTGCCCAGGCTGGAGTGCAATGGCATAATCATGGCTCACTGCACCCTCGAACTCCCAGGCTCAAGCCATCCTCCTATCTCAGCCTCCTGAGTAGTTGAGACAACAGGCATGTGCCACTATGTCTGGCTAATATTTTAATAAATTTTTTGTAAAGACAGGTTCTCCATGTGTTGCCCAGGCTTTGAATCTCCTAACGGCCGGTATTAAGATTCTATGACTATGTATTATACAGAGAGTTTGCACATGAGTAAGTTCTGGGTGGAGAGACATTATTCCTTACTAGGGCCTTAAGAGTCTGGCTGCAGCTCTGCTGCCACATGGACAAAACCAGCTGCATAATTTACAAGATCCAGCGCAAAATAAAAATGTGACATTTCTTGTTGAAAATCATTATGAATTTCAAGATGGCAACAACAAAGCATTAAACCAAGCAGGGGGCCTTTCTAAGCTTGAGGCCCCATGTGACTGCACAGGTCACATGCCCGTGAAGCTGGCTGTACAGAGACTAGCTGACTGTTGGACTGGCTGTGTCCTGGATTCTTTTAGTCAATGCGTTCCCTGTTCTGACAATGGACATTCCTGTCTCAGCCTCCACATTGGGTCTTGTCTCCTGATTCTGCACCCAGCCTGCCTCAGCCACATTCCCTGCTCCAAAGCCAGAGTGCTATGTATTCCAGCACAAGCAAAGTCCCAGGGTCCATGCCTGCCAGTCAACATTGCTCTGGAGGCACCCACAAAGATGGCAAAGATGGGGGGTGAAGGGGGTATTGGACAATGAGATCCCTGTGCCTCAAGTGGAAAGTCTCTCAGGGGATAAGAGAGGACTGAAGTACCAACCAAGAAACCTGGGTTTCATTCCCAGTTCTGCCACTAAATTTACTGTGTCCTTAATTGGCAAGTTGCTTAACATCTTGGCACCGTTATCTCTTTATCTATTAAAGGAGAGAGTTTGATTAGATTGTCTTTAAGACCATTCCCACTTCCAGCTCTAAAAGTCTGTATTTAAGTGACTCTAAGAGACTATAATAATAATAGGTAACATTTGTTGACCATTACCATATGCTATTTACATGTTGATTTAATGCTCATAACAACCCTATGAGGCAGGCACTGTTATTCCCATTTTACAGTTGAGAAAATTGAGACTCAGTTTAAAACACACACAGTGAACAAGGAAGCTTTTTAGGGTGGTGAAAATGTTTTAAAACTTGGTTGTGGTCATGGTTGCACAACTCTGTAGATTCAGAGCTGTATATTTCGAGTGGGTGGCTTTTATTGTCCGTAAATTGTACCTCAATAAAGCTGTTGAAAAGAAATTAAAAAAATGTGCCGAACTAGTACATGATCAAGCTCTCCACACTGCTATAGACTCCTTTCCTCTGCATATATGTAGTATTTGAAAGCATGACTCAGGAGCCAGACTCCCTCAGTTCAGATCCTACCTCTAGCACTTACTAGCTGAGACCCAGACAAGATACTTGACCTCAATTTCTTTACCTGTAAAATGGAGATAAAAAGGGGTACAGATTTCATAGGGTTGTTGTGGAGATTTAATGGGTTAATATATGTTAAATGCTTAGCATAGCAGTTGGCACACAGCAAATGCTATATAAGTAGGGACTATTATTATCTTCCATACCACAGGATTGCCACAGCCAGAACCAGGCTTCTTAAAGGGGCAGGTTTTCTCCCTGCAAACCCCACCCCTGTTCTCCTGGGCTCCTTAAAGAAACACCTCCTCTTCAAAGGCCATCTTTGGAAAAACACCACGATGGCTTTCAGTACATCTCACTTCCTGGTAACAGAGAGAGAGTGAGAAACAGCATCTTCCCGATAAGGCAGTGACTCGCTCACTCTCGTAAAACATTCATTACTCTGACAGCTTTTCCCCATAGACTCTTTCTCCCAGGTCCCTGTGAGCTCCAACAGTCAACACAGAGGGCCCTTCTTAAAGGGGGTCCAGGGCCAGTCATGAGGTCCGAGTGGCCAAGGATGGAGATGCCTGTTTTGCCCATGTCTGACCCCATTCCATTAACATGGGAAACCCCTCACTGGTTAATGAATCAAGCTAGAAAGGACAAGGATTGTTAGTGGACAGTCAGATTTCTATCACTGAAAAATGGGTTTTCAAGCACTGAGCCCATAACCAGAGTGAATCTAACTGGGGTGGGGAGGTGGGGCGGGGTTGGGAATGTGAACTGATGCTTTCTGTTTGATAATCTCACTTCTGCTTATATGTGAGCAGTACTGCATAAACCATTTTCTCCTCCGCGATCTCACTGAATATACACCATGGCCTTGGAAGGTGGGTATTCTTGTCCTCTGGGTGTCAACACTCCCTTTTCCTGATGAGCAAACTGAGGTGATGCACTTCAGTCAGCATCAGAACCAAGGCATGGAGTCAGGTCTTCTGAAGCTGGGCCCAGTGTTTTTCCACTGTGCTTCAGAGGAGGAAGTCAGAAGCTGCTTCGGACTCCACCTCAGAAGCTCCAGTGACGCTTATTAAAGTGCTCAAGAAAATAAAGCAATGTGCTATCTTCATATCCTTGCCAAGGACCTTACAAACTGCACTGGGAGCCCCAAACAAGAGAGTCCGAAGGGTAAAGATGGTCTCCCTGTGGGCCACGTGGAACACAGGAGCTGTGAGTGTGTTCAAATCCCCAAAGTCCCATGTCAGATAACCCAAGCAGAGAAACAAATTAGCATTGGTCCACAGACCTCAAGGCGGTAGGAAAACAGGCAAAGTCCCCAAAGAAATCAGGCTGGGTGGAGCTGAACATATCACTTGCCATGCTTCCCGGGGTTCCCAAAACTTTCATCTCGTCTGAGGCCAGGTCTGATACTCTATGGGGGTGACAGCTAGCTTCTGGGCTGATTTTTAAAAACTTATTTGTCAGGTTGACATTACTCCTTTTGCTACGCATCTTGCCCCAAAGCAGGATTGGCTCTAAGCTGTGGAGGAGGGGAACAGGGGGGCTGCTGGGTTTTAAGGAGCCTTAGTGAGGCCAGCAGGACCTGGAGGCCACCTTCCCGGTGGGGAGTGGGTGTTCAGGTGATGATGCTAAGGGTCTCCTGCAGTGAACCTGAATCTCCCTCCTTCCATCACTCACCAACCGTTTCATACCCCAGCACCTCTCCCACTCTTTCCATCCTCCCCCTCCACAGCCAGGTCCTTGCCTTTACCTCTTATTGATTT